TGTCACATTAACTCGGGGGGGTAGGAAAAGAGTGTTCCCTATAAGAGTTTCCTCCCATGAGCAGAATCATTTTTGTGTTGTGCATCAGTACTGAGTTCATGCAGCTTGTCTGGATGTACCACTGTGGCACCCAAGTTATTAATAAATATCTTATAAACCTCTACCACCTTGTCTCCTCCCCTTACTCCATCAGCTTCCCTGCTGCCTGCTGCCCCTCCCACAACCCCTCACCTTCCTCTGCTGTCCTGACTCCTGCCCTTCTCACTGCCCTTAGCCCTCATGGGACCTGCACCAGCCCTTCTCTCTCCCCTGTGCCCACTCCTCCAGTAGCACCACTCTGATCATGTGTAACTACCCATCTCCTCTCCTAACACCTCCCTCTACACACCTGCATTGTCTCTCTCCTCTGGTGCTGGTCCCTCCCCTGCATGTGTCTGCCCTTCTGCTTCACCCCCAGAATCCTCTGGCATCTCCAACTTCCTTTTCCTCTGCACCCTCCTGGACCTGCCCACCTGCACCAGCCTCTCTCACCCCCCGTGCCCACTCCTCCAGTAGTCCCACTTGGATCATTTGAACTACCCTTCCTCATCCCCTCTCCTAACACATCCCTCGTCTCTCTCCTCTGGTTGCGGTCCCTCCCCTGCAGGTGTCTGGCCTTCTGCTTCACCCCCAGAATCCCGTCACCTGCACCTTCCCTTACGCCTGCAACCTCCTGGTGCCTCCCCCTTCCCTCACTGTCCCTGCTCCCCTTGCCTTCTTTTTCCCTGATGCCCACCCCCCACACCCTCTGCCCAAGTTCCCCCCTTGCCCCTCTGTGCCCTTGCTCCATCCCTGCCTTCCTCATACCCACTCCTCCTTTAAACCCTTCTCCCAGCATCTCCTCCTCCAGCCTCTTGCCCCCAATCTCCCTCCCCTCTCCTTTCCCAGCATCACCCTGTTCCCTCCCACTGACACCTCCACTCTCTTTTTCCTGCCCTTTTCCTCATTGTCTCCATTTGGCCCCCTGGCATTTGTCTCTCCTCCACCCAGCCCCTTGGTGCCTTCCCCTTTCTTCTCCTGCCCTGCCCCCTCCCCTCGGCACGACTCCCTTCCTCTTCCACCCCTCTAGTTTTCCCCCTGCCCCTCCCCCACCTTCTCCCCTCCAGTTTGCGGGGCTGGAGTCTGTGGTCGGGCCCCAGAAGTCGCCACAGCTCCTGCCCCAGCTGCTTCTGGAAAAAGAGGTGTATGGTCACCGTAACTACACAGATAATCCTTGAAGCATAAGCACTACTTCTATACTTCCATAGCAACCAGAGAACAAATATACCACCAGGGAAAAGACAAATGGGAAGGTTCCTTCAGTTAAACTTCCTGTGCTTTCTAGGCCTGACTGTACTCTGGGGCAGTGGTTATCAACTAGGAGTCCCGGGCTAAGTTTCCTCTAAGATGTGTGCCTCAGCAGCTGCCTATCAAACTCTGCACAGGGGCTCAGGGCTGTGGTGGGGAGAGACACCAGCGCTTGCCAGTCCCAAGGTAGAGCTGCGCTAGACTTGCCATGGCCGAGGGAAAGGCATCCTTACTCTAGCCCCAGTACAGACCTGCCCCTTCCCCAGTTCCCATCCAGCCTAGCCTGAACATGCCACAGTCACGAAGTGGCACCTTTCCCTGCCTAGGCTCCACTGGAGCAGATGTATTGAAGCACTTCTCACTTGGCCCCAAACTTCTTCAGGTGAGAGGGGGCTTCAATTAATCTCCCCCCCAGGGCAGCCTACACCCCCTCTAGCTGCACCCTAGAGCCAACATCCCCCATCTGGAGCACTCACTCCTCCTCACCACCATCACACCCTAGATCAGAGCCCCTTCCTGCTCTCACACCCCCAGAGATCTCACCCTACACACCCCAACTCTGAGTCCCCTCCCAAACACAGGTAACCCCCTTGACCCAGCCCCACCACACACACACACCATGTGCAGAATGAGTTTTTGCAATATGCACCAATATGGATGTGATGTGTCACATCACCTCCATACTGGTGCACATAAAGAATGTGTTTAACTTTACTCACAATAATAGCCCCATTGACTTCAGTAAGTCTCAAGATCATCTCATCTAAACTAAGGAGGTTAAATTTAGATCAAATAATTCGAACAGTCGATAAGGGCACCTGCACCTTTGAAATATAGCCCTGCCAGCTCGTTAAATTTCAAAAGCAGGGAGCGCGAAGCTAGTGGGGGGACTGCTTGAGTCCCCTGCTGGGCCTGTATTCCCCACCTGTGCTTTGCTTTTGAAATGTAGCAAGAGGCCTGCTCCTACTACATTCCAAAGACCGAAGTGCCACTAGTTCCTCGCTAGGCCCCTGCCCTCCACCCACGGAGACAGTACTGGGGAAAACTAGCTTTTAAGATGGTTCCCCACAGCACCAGCTCCTGCTCCCCCCATTTGCTGCCGCTCTCTGATAGAGGCAGGAGGGGGGAGGTCTGAGCGACTACTCGCTTACATCCCTAATCTGAAATACTGGGTTTTGCCCAAGAAAGCTCATGATTCTATACATTTTTGTTAGTCTCTCAAGTGCCACAGGACTACTCTTTTAAAGTTACAGATTAACAGGGCTACCCCACTGAGACTTTCAATAAGTGAAGTTATGCATGTACTTGAGTATTTGCAGCTTTTATTGCAAGATGCCACAAACCTTAGAAACCAAGTTTAGCAGCTGCACATTTATACTCAGGCTTCACAATGTACGTATAAGATTCTTAATTTCTAACCCAATCGACATAAAAAGTAATTTTGAGTGAATAAGTCCCACTGAGTCAGGTGGAACAACTCACTTAAGTTAGTATTTGTATGATTAACACCTACAATGCTAGATGTGCAATTTATAGCATGTCCATGAGAGCCTCAAAGACCTTTTTTTAAACATTTTATCTTATTTTTCAATACCACATTAATTACATTTAATAACTTAATCTACCAGAAAGTACAAATGCCACAGAAGTTATCTTTTTTTTTTTTTAAATCAAGGATACACAGAGTTTGGAAAAAACATTATGAAAGCCACAATACCTTTACTTGAAAACCAGAGAAATAACATTAACTGAAATGAAACACAGCAAAATAGCCTGTTATATTATATCATTTGTTTCCTTCCCTAACACAAAATCCTTTTTTGTTCGTTATGTTACATGTCAGCAGAAATATGTACAACTCTACACAGTACTTGTAAAAGAGAAACATTGCCAACACGCAGAATCACTAACATGGTGGACTCTCCCTAAATAGAGGGTCCTAATTATTTGAATATTTCAAAATGAATTTGGTAAATAAATTTTGCAAAATATCAGATGAAGAAATAATGTAGACCTTGCGGTCTAATGGGAGCAAAATTAAATGTAATGGCAAAGTCACTCCATATATTGCCTTGTTTGTGTACAAAAGAGAACACTAGAGACTTGTTGAACTATTACTAACAAATGAGAAACTAGTAAGCAGCTACAGCAACTACAATACCAAGTAATTAAAAAATTAAGAGAAATATTGAGAATGTACAGGTCCATGATTTGTATCTCAAACAGAGCTCATTGCAGGATCAAGGCCTTTGTATAAATGCATACAAAATTAATCCACATATTTCCTAAAAAGAAAGCAAGCAAAAGCACCTGGGTCTAAATTCCCTATCATATATGTTTTCTTACATATTTCCTGTGAGGTGACTTTTACAAATATCTTATAGCTTCCAAAATACCATATACCCAGACTAGTCAACAAAAGCCTGACAAAATTTCAGACAAAATATAAGCTATCATATTTAAAGAGTAATTTTACACTTTACAAAAATAGCATTTTTTTCAAGTCAGACCATCTAACAATCCATTAAGCAAAAATATCTGTATTACAGCTGTGCCTTTTTCTGCTGAGCTGAAACCTTTGATTCAAAGAGCAAAGTGCATTTCGGGACTTGAGTTTTCCCTTTAAAGGCCACAAATTCAACGAGTAATAGCACACTATATTAAAAATCAGATCTCTTGCAAGTTAGACACACTATAAGCTAGAACAAAGCCTCTGTGAATCAGTAGTTCCTAATAAAACACTGGTATAGACACACATTCCTTTCTGAAGCCTGTACTAGGCCTCAAAAAACAAGGAGGCAGCCTGGGAGCCAGAAAGTGAGCAATTCACCAGCAAGGCACCCAGGGAAGCCTTTCTCCTTCCTGCCAAATGGTGAGGCACCGAGGAAGTAACACAATGCAGCACCAGAGATTATCTCTGACAAGGAGAGATATTCCAGCTCTTTGATAAATACAATGTCCCTTCCAAAAAAAAAAAAAAAGCGGCCCTAACCCCAGTTAATGCTGATCTATGAAAGAAAAGCCTAGGGAGAGTGAAGTGGGAACAGTTGTGTAGACTAAGAAAGGAGGACCTAATGAAATGCAAGGTAACAAGTTAGTTCCCATACCCTTTTGGGCAGACAGTTTCTAAATTATGTTTTTCACCTTTGACTTAAAAAACAGAAACTGAATGCAAGGCAGCCTGTGAGTATAGTACACAAAGCCTGCAAACATTCATCTAAATCACCAAGTCACTTGCTTTTGTGAATCATGCTATGGGATATCACGTTTGAAAGACTTCACAATACACACTAAAAAAAACTTCTCCTCTTTCAGGCTATGCAACCAGATATGAGTATTATATAAAATGCGGCGAAAGCAACAGGCATTAACAGGATCCACAAAACCCGACAGATGACCCTGAACCAAGTCTATACAACACACAAGGAGAAACTTCTCAATCATATCAGACTCCTGTGGGTCAACTACAAGCATGAAAGGAAAGAAACCAACAAAACTGGAGAGGTCTTCAATCACTAAGAACTGCCACTAGAATGAAGGGCAAAATATTTAGGTCACAAAATCAAGCTGCATGTCAACCAAACTCGGGCATTAAATCTAAAGCTCTGGGCCTAAAATTGGTAAAAGCTCTTATGAGCCTCAACTGATAAGAGTGGGGAAGGAATCAGACTTACATTGTCTCCCCAGTCTTGGCAACATGACCAAGAAACTGATCCAGCACTGGACACGATTCCTTCTTCCCTCGCTTCTCAAAATCTGCAGGTAAGGGAAGCGGGGGAGGGGGATGAGAAAATCCCAGTTACCATCAGTGGCCTTGGTCCCACAAGACGCTTTGCCAAAAGAAACTGATCCAGCACTGGACACGATTCCTTCTTCCCTCGCTTCTCAAAATCTGCAGGTAAGGGAAGCGGGGGAGGGGGATGAGAAAATCCCAGTTACCATCAGTGGCCTTGGTCCCACAAGACGCTTTGCCAAGTCCCAGTGTGCGGGAAGGCGAGACGCCCCCCCCCCCG